ATTGTCTGCATAATGCAGATTGTTGATGAGTCTTCCTCCAATCCTGATGCCACATTTCTCCTCATAGAGACCAGCTTCCCAGATAATCTGTTCTGCATATAGATTGAAAAGGTTGGAGATAGGACACATCCCTGGCGTACTTTGGACATGTTGCAAGGAGGGACCAGTCCTTGGAGAGGGACATCATGCTTAGGAGGGTGCACAGGAGAGGAAGACCCTCTATGAGATGGACAGATTCAGTGACTGGGGTAATTGGGGTAGGTGTGTTGGAGACAGTGAGATTGGTACAGGATAGAGCAGGGTTTAGGTCTGTTGTACATATAGGGGTGCTATGAGTCGCAGGTGACTAGACAGCACATAACAACAACAACTACAACTGAATCTCCTAAATTAATAGCTTTTTTAAAAAAATAGCTTTCTTCTTTTATCTGTTGCCTCCTTTATTTTACTGAAATTGTCAGAGTCTGTGAGCTCAAAATTATTGTCACATTAAATTTAAGATGAAAAAAAGAGAAACTTTTAAACTTGGAAGTTTTCTCTGCTTTACACCCAGCCTGAAAATTCAGGGCTGGTGGAAAGTTCCCTGAGATAAAGGAGAACAAATGAAAACCTTTCCAAACTTGTCCCCCTTCAAAGTAGAACCAGCAAAGGCACATGTAGGCTTCTGCTTTGAGCATCTTCACTTTTCTCTAATCCTTTCTGCCTGTTGCAGTTCCTTAACACCACTAATAGTGGCTGCTGCTTTAGGCAGGGCCTGGAGTAAGCCTGCAAAGTGAATGAGTACTAAAACATGATTTTTCTTTCTCTCTCTTCCAACCGTTCCCCCCCCACACACACACACTGCCAGTCTGTGCAAGATTAGGGTGAGATCAGAGAGTGAAGAGTTACCAGCCCTAACTAGTTGCTAAAATCTATAGCTCAAGAGGCTGGAAAAGATCGATATTTGTTCCCATCCCAAAGAAAGGTGACCCAACAGAGTACGGAAATTATCGAATAATATCATTAATATCACATGCAAGCAAGATTCTGCTGAAAAGTATTCAAAAACATTTGAAACAATATGTCAACAGAGAACTTCCAGATGTGCAGGCTAGATTTAGAAGAGGTTGTGGTACTAGGGATATTATAGCTAATGTTAGATGGATCTTGGCAGAAAACAGAATACCAGAAGAATGTGTATCTGTGCTTCATTGACTATGTAAAGGCTTTTGACTGTGTGAATCAAAACAAGCTATGGCTGACTCTGAGAAGAATGGGAATCCCAGAACATTTGATTGTGCTAATGCGAAACCTATACTTGGACCAAGAGGCAGTCGTCAGAACAGAGTAAGGAGACACTACATGGTTCAAAATCAAGAAGGGGGTCCATCAGGGATGTATTTTGTCTCCATACCTTTTCAATCTGTATGCAGAACAGATCATCCGAGACACTGGACTGTAGAAGGAGGAATGTGGCATCAGGATTGGTGAAAGAGTCATCAACAATCTGCGTTATACAAATGACACAAGCCTGCTCGCTGAAATCGAGGAGGACCTGGAGCGCTTGTTGCAGAAGGTAAAGGATTGCAGCCTCCAATATGGATTGAGGCTCAACGTCAGGAAAACAAAGATTCTCACCACTGGGCCAATTGGCAGCATTGAGATAGTTAACAGTTTTAGTTTGCTTGGTTCCACAGTCAACATTCTTTGTACAGCAGCCAGGAAATCAAGAGAAGAATTGCACTGGCAAAGTCAGCGGTGAGGGACCTCTCAAGAGCACTGAAGAGCAACAATGTCAGGCTGGAGACTACAGTGCATCTGATTCAGGCTATAGTCTTCGCAATTACGTGCTATGCATCAGAGAGTTGGACAGTGAATAGAGATAATAGAAAGAGAATTGATGCCTTTGAGCTGTAGTGCTGGAGAAGAGTGTTGAATATTCCATGGACTTCTAGGAGAACAAACAGGTTCGTCCTGGAAAGGGTGAAGCCAGCATGCTCCTTGAAGGCAAGGATTCTGAAGCTTTGTCTGACAAACTTTGGGCATATTGCAAAGAGGGACTGGTCCTTGAAGAGGGACATCATGTTTGGGAGAGTGGGAGAACGCTGCAGGAGAAGACGACCCTCAATGAGATGGATCGATTCTGTGAGTGGAGTGATGGGAATGGGTGTCTTGAGACAGCGAGGTTGGCACAGGATAGAACGGTGTTTAGGGCTCTTGTACACAGGGTCGTTATGAATCACAAGCAACTCAATGGCACATAACAACAACAACAACAACAACTCTAAACTGACTAGTTATCAACAGATAAAAGAAGAAAAAAAACCCCAAACAACAAAACCCTGAGGACAAACTTCTTTACCATTGCACTACAAATCTGCACCGGGTAGAGGAGAAACACTAGGTACTATCAAACTTTACTTCACCTACATTAACTAACATTATTAACAAAATTAAAGCTTTGCTTATAATCCGGCTGTATGCTTCATGCAGGAAATGTGAAGAATATAAAAAGAAACAGAAGTAGAGCTGATTGCTTAGGCAAGAAAGTAAGAGAATTTTTAAGTCTTTCAAACTAAAGAAGTAAAAGAAGAATAATTTTAAGATCATGGCTCTTTGAACCCCAACGTGTTCTAGTTGGGCTTGATGTGCTGCTTGGGTGGCTCGTGTCTCAGTTTTCAGTTGAGAGAACAGGGCACAGATGGAAGTTACAGATTCTTACATCCCCGGATGTGCCTCTTATTTCTCAATGAATCTTACCAGGAGTCGCTTCCCTTACCCAGAATCCACGGCCACACAGAAAAAGCGAACACCCTGATCGAGCCCAGAGGGAAGAATATTAGGTGTCTCCTGCCATTTCTGGGGCAGAGAAGCCCCTCCATGAGGACTGAACACCAGTATAATTCCCAGTCGGCGCCCTCACCATAGCGACCCTTATAAGGGAACTGGTGAGGTGGTCTCCTTATCTATGAAGGCTGGCTACCTGATCTCTCACTTAGACTTTCTTCCCCCACTGGTACCTTCCCAGCCCCCCTGATTCAGCAGGTGACAGCTGGGTTGGGGGATGGATGGTAGAGGGAAAGCAGGGTCTCTGGCCCTGTCCCTCTCAGGTGCACAATCATTTTTTTGTTGACAACTCCCCTTCTACTCCTCACCCTCCTGCCCCTCCTCACCCTCCTGCCCCTGAAAGTGGTCACAAAGCGTGGTGTGTCCTTGTTTTTCTCGGTGCTTTCTAAGGGCAAGTCACCAGCTTCTGGCATATTGAAGGCGTTCTTGGCCTCTAGGGTGAGTGAGAGCTTGCGTGGCCACCGCCCAGCCTCCTAGCCCCTGCTGTCCACAGCCCAGTTCTTTTGTTCTAAACTTTGACTCTGAAAGCCAGCCCTCAAGGATCAGCAGATGAAGACCAAATGTTCACTGTCACCTCCCAGGCCTTGCAAGCCCAGCCCTTCCCCTCTTCTCCAACCTGGTTCCGCCATTGTCCGTGTGACAGAAGCCTTTTCTTGGCGCATCGGCTGGAACTGGGACCTCTAGTGGCCTATTTTGCATCTTGTCCACTGAAGAACATTTCAGTTGGAAGATATTTTGATCCTTACCCAGTCCTTAGAAAATATGACAAAGAGGGGCGCTATTCTTTCTTTTTTTAATTAATTTTAATGAAAGTTTACAGAGACTTAGGGTTTCCAGTCATTCATTGTTATTCTTAATGTACACCAAAACGTGGCTACCGATTAAAAAAACCCAAAACAACCACCTCCTCTGTTACGTATATTATACTTCAAGTTTTGGGTTTAACCGAATAAATACAACCCATTCTCCTCATCTCAGTGACTGAGTTACCTCTTCCCAGATGACTCGCAGGGAGCTCTGGTCGAATCCGCCAGCAGCTCCTCTGATAAAAGATGAGCAATCAACCTTCTTGTGATTTACACGGAACCTGCTGGAAGGTCAGCAATGAGGATGCATTTGGTTTGGGGATTGCTGCCAAACACCCCTCCCCCTCCTCCACCTAGGCTCTTGCCTTTCACCTCGGTTCTTTATTATGCAGATAACCTCCTCTTATTTAACTTTCTTTCAATTCAGGCTCTTAGTATTCTGTTGGGAAGCCCCCAGGAGGTGAACCTTTAGGGGGAAAGCCTGAGTTGGGGGTGAGGGAAGAGCAGGAGAAGAGAAAACATGATGTTACGTTGCTTCTTCCACCCCTTTCTCAGGCTCCTTATGGGTGGGGGTGGGGGGAACTGTGCACTCGCCCTCCGTTTACCTGGGGACACTCTGTCTGGTCCTCTACCTCCTCTTTCATCCCGGCTAAGGCCACCCTCTCCTACACACTCTCTTGGCTCCCACCGTGCCGACATCTACAGGTTTATTTCAGAGCTTGGCAATCCGTGGACTCCCACGTCAGACTGTAAACTCTACAAAAGGGCGGCGATTGGGTCTGTTTGGGTCACAGCCAGCTCCCCAGGGGCCAGCCCCCACTTTGGGACTCAGCAGGCTCTCAATAAACATTTTGTTGCGCTTGCGTGTCCACCACCAGCTCTGAAAGGGCCCCTGGCTCCATCAGGCCTAGACTGGGGCTGTGTCATAAGGGTGGTGTGTTTATCTGATAAAAACCCTCCTTCTCTAAATGCGTTTGGATTTCTAAGGACTCTCCACCCGGGGTACCTGACTCGCCACCTTCCCCACTCCATGGTGTCCTCGTCCTCCCCTTGCACACAGCCACCTCCAACTAAGTGGCCCTGCCTGCAGTCAGAGCTGGGGAGCCCGGCATCTCTTGTTTTACTGTCTCTGGGGAGGGGTCAGCGCACGGGAAATGGAAAACCCGGGGCCGGGGGTGGGCTTCTCCCCCACCCCGCCCCCCAAGAGAGCCGGACTGACCGCTCGCGGATGTGTCTCCATCCCCACATCCTTCCGTGATGGGCGTGGCGGGCCGGTTCACCCTCCCCGCCCTTCACCAGCGGAAGGAAATGCTGACAGCAAGGCGGAGATGGACGCTGGGCCCTGGCCAAGGCCAACGAATTACGCACATTGTGCCAAGTCGCCGCGTCCCCTGACCCGGTGCGGCGACACCACGGGGAGCTGAGCGGCATTCCACGGCCGAGGGCGACCCCTGGTGATGATGGGGAGACGAGCACGGCCTTCAAGGCGGGCAGGGGAAGGGCGCGAGCGCGGGCACCGTCCACGCAGCCTCTGTACCGATCACGCTGTCAGTGCAAAGATTTTATTTCCAAGGACGGCTGAAATTTAGTGCCACTGAAGAGTAAAGTCAAGGTTTCGAAAAATGTGTGCGAACATTATAAAATGTTTTTAAGGATTCAAGTATGTCACCCCATAAAATATATGCTGTAAATTTTAACCTCTGTGCCTGTGTCTATAATCCTATTTAGAGCTGGGTTGTCCTTGTTGGCGTTAATGAGGTAGGGTAGGGTTTAGGGTGTATTTTGGGTCAATCTCTCTTTTGAGAAATCAAAGGAATGAAACAAGCTGAGCAGAGCTGGGGAATAAGTGTGCTCACCCCCTGGAAACCAGGAGAGCTGGAGGAATGAGGACGGTGCCCCAGAACTGCCTGGGAGTGCCAGCCCTTAGAGTCTGCGCCCTCGACCAACCCCAGCTTCTGCCTCAAAGGTGAGAAAATAGTGCAGGATAAGTTGAGTTCTGTACTGTTGCTGGACATCAGAGTTGGAGTTGACACCTACAAACAGAAAAGTGTTTGTTAAAATCATCCACTCTTGTTATTTGTTATAGCAACACTAGATAACACAGCCAGATTCGAAGATCAATTCAGTTATAATTCTACTACAGGAGTTGCGAGGTGCCATCAAGTCAGAATAGACACATAGCTGACACTTCAGGGGGTTTTAGAGGCTGTGAATCATATAGGAAAAAACTCCATGTCTTCTGTGAAGCTGCTGGTAGATTTTAACTACCTGCCCTTGAGTTGGCAGTGCAGCTCCTTACCATCAAGCTATCAACGCAGCCTATTACAGCTAGGTGTTATTCAAACAATAATGTTCCTTTTTTTTCCGTTTTAAAACAATTATTTAAAAAATTTTTACTGAAAGCACTCATTTGACTCCCAAAACCCTTGAGGGAAAAGAATCAACTTTTTGTACAACTTCCCTCACATGTCCTGTACTGATCTGACACTGAGCTGTGGCTTGAACTGCACCTTATCATCCGGATGCTCAGGAAGGCGGGATGTTATTCATTTCACTGTTAGGAGTCTGACGCTAGACCCTGGAATGCAAGTTTACCAGCCCTGGGGAGAAGAGCCTTTTGTTAAGAGTCCAGGGACTTTGACTATCTGCAAGTTTCTATGGTACCTATCTCTCATCTCAAAGGGGCAGCAGGAATACTGAGCAAAAGGCTAGTTGTTTTAACAGAAATACTTGGGAAAACAAGCCTTCAACAACTTTGCAGGGAAAAGTGGGCACACTTAGAGACCTGCCCAAGTAATCCTAACCCTACTTCCATTACCAAGCGAATCTGGGCAATCTACTCTGTCAATTCCTTACAGAGCTCTTTCTAAGTGTTTCTAGATTTCAGTGGAACGTTTCTTTCCAAGTAGCTGGACACTATTACATTACTGAAGAATGGCGTTTCATGTACAATACAGTGTCATGGCTATTGGGGTTTTTTCACAAGATATTTCCCTACCCACCCAGATGATGGAGGTTCACTAGTCTGTGCCCAGACCATGATGCATGAAAGCTGAAAACAGGGTTAGCGACAGAGTCCAATGCGTTGCTGGCCACCGTGGTGCCACTGCTCCTGATACAGGTGTAACCTGAGCCCCTGCCTGGGAGCCAGAAATCAGCTGAGAAGAAGCCTCAGGAGAAAGACTGGCCTGGCCTGGGGGTGAAGTGGGGAGTCAGCGCAGCTCACCCCACAAAGACTGTGATCGAGCCCCTGGTGTGCGGTGCAGGGCCTGGGTAAGTCCCTTCTGTAGCACCTCAGGGTCCCCTGGACAACCTGGGCAACCAGGAGCAGAGCACCTGAGGTGAGGGGAGAGTGCCTAGTGAGGGGGGACAAGGCCAGAGAGCGCTTTCTGCCAGCCTCGCTGCATGCACCCTCTTGGCCGCCTAAATTGGAGCCACTGGCCAGGGTACCCAGAGCGGACACAACGTGGGGACCCACATCCAGGAGCACAAGGGCTCCAGGCCTCGCTGGCTCCTCCGAGACCTACATGCCACCTGGGGAATGCTGGCGGCCTGTGGAGTCCAGCTTCCGGGTGCGGGCTGCGCCTGCTTCCAGGAAGGGGAGCGAGATCTCAGCGAAAAAGGAGAGTCCTCCAGGGGCTGCCGGCCTGACCCCTGCCCACCACCCCTTCCTCCAGCCTCGGCTATGCTGGTGGAAAGGGAGGGCGCGGGCCTGCGGCCACAGGGTCAGGCGTTAACCCGTGCAGGGCCAGTGGCGCACCGGAAAGGACAAGACGGCCTCCCCAGGAGCGGCCACTTGGCTGGGGCCACCACCTCGCGGGACCGGCCCTCCCCAGCCCCCGGCCCCGCCCGCGGCCCATTGCATGCTGGGATTTGTAGTTCCCGGGAGTCCCCGCATCTGACCCTCCCCTGCTCCCCCTTCCCCACAGAGGCCCGTCCAACCCTGAGAGGGAGGGAAGCTCCATGACCAAAAAAAAACCCCCCAACAAAAACAAACAACTCAAAACAACAACAAAAAACCAACCAGCAACCCACAACCAAAAAACAAACACCAGAAATGAGGGGACCCTAGTCCACAGGTTTGATTGGAGAATCAAAAGAAATAGAACTTGTCTGCGTGGGTGGGTGGGGTAGAAGGGTGGAGGGATTTTGTAAATAAAATCTCGGTGCTATGGTGAGTGGCTGCTGTTATCATCATGATTTGAACTCGCTAAGGACCCTGTGTGACCCTGTCTCTCTTCCTCTGTCCTTCTGGCGGCGGGGTCAGCCCCTCAGTGTTCTCCCCATCACCTACAGACTTATTTAAAAGGGAAAGCTTTTAATAGCAAGTTCCAGGTCCCGTGAGAGTCAGGGAGGTGACCGGTACATGGAAGCTCACACTTTTTTTTTTTAATTGGTTACCCATGAGTTAGGGTGCCGTTACTGAGTTAGGGTTAAGTGCCCTTTTTGTTTTGGAACAGTTTTGTTGGACTGTATAATTCACATGGGAGTGTCAGAGACAGTGCGATTGGCACAGGACAGAGCAGAGTTTAGGGCTGTTGTACATACGGTCGCTATGAGTCGCAAGCGACTCGACGGCACATAACAACAACAACATACAATCCTCCATCCAATGTGTATTTTTTTAATATAGTGTTGCTGTTGTCATGACGACCTACTTCCAGAACATTTCCTTCACCTCAGAAAGAAGCTTCTATTCATTAGCAGTTACTCTCCAAATCCCCTTCTCTTCTAGCCCAAAGCAATTAGGAATATACTTTCTCTCTCTACAAATCTGTTTATGTGCTTCATTGTGGCCTTTGGGAGCTGGCTTCCTTCACTTAGCATAAGGTTCTTCCATGTCATGCTAAGTATCAGACTCTGATGGTTTTTGGTGTTTGGGTTTTTTTTTTTTTTAATTGGTTTGCTTACAAAGTTCATATGCATTGTGTTTCACACAATTCTTTATCCACATTGTGTTTTGTAACAATCATTCTCATGTGTTATGTTTTATAAAATTAATCATCATTACCCTGTCTTTTCACCCAGATTCTTTCCATTTCCTTCCCCACCTCCCTCCACTCACCAAACTATTCAGCCCTATAGTTTTGCCCCTACCCATCCTCACCCCTCTGCTTACACCCTTTCCACCTTGGGTTCCCATACATGTTTTACTAGTTATCTTTCTATTTTTACAATAATGGTCTTATGTAGTATTTGTCCTTATGAGACTGAGTTAGTTCACTCACCGTAATGCTCTCCCGTCCTCCCAAGGTATGTAATATTTTTTTAAAAATTCTTACTCCTGGTGCTGCATAGTATTCCATTGTGTGAATGTTCCACAATTTCTCTATCCATTTGGTTATAGTTGGACATTTGAGCTCTTCCTATATTCTTGCAATGGTGAATAACACTGCTATGAACATTGGTGTACAAATCTCCATTTGTATCTCAATTTTAATTTCCTTGGGGTATATTTCTAGTAGTGGAATAACTGGGTCATACAGAGTTTCTGTGTTCAACTTTTTAAATTTTGTGTGTGCGTGTGTGTACCATTGGATTGGACTGATACAGGAGGAAATTGCCCCTCCTTCTCCATCAGAGCTTCTGGTGGATTTGAACTGTATACCTCTGTGATTGCAGTGCAGCTTCTTGCCACTAGGCCACCAGAGCTCCCTTGTGTTCAACTCTTTTGAGGAAACTCTGTTTTCCAGAGTGATTGTATCATTTTACAATCCCACCAACAGTGTATGAGAGTTCTCACCTCTCCACATCCTCTTCAAGTTTTTCAGCTGCTGGAGAGTCTGTAAAAGTCTAATCTTTTTTTTTTTAGAAGTCAAGCTACCAAGAGGGTGAGGCTCCTCCTGGTGGTGGTGTTAGATACCATTGAGTGGACTCATCAGCCCCATGAACAATGGATCTGGACCTTGTCCTGTCCTGTGCCATCCTCATCATCTGTTATACTTGCTCTGGTTGTTACAGTCACTATGTCAATCCATAGCTCACTGCTAGCGCATTGCATGTGGAGAGCAGACTGGACCTTGAATTTGTAGGACATCAGGAAGGAAACCAGGAAAGGGCGCTTATCCAGTCCTACTCCATCCCAAGAGATAGCAGGGAAGTAAGCATGGAGCGCCCTCGCCTGGAGGACATGTTCAAGCGCCAGGTTTAGGAGCAAGATTTTGTTGTTGTGTACCATCAAGTCAGATCTGGCTGGCACAGGAAGAGATTGCCCCTCCTACTCCAGCAGAACATCTGGTGGATTCAAACCTCATATCCTCAGGATTGTAGTGCAGTTTTTTGCCACTAGGCCACCAGAGCTCCTTATGGAGCAAAATATTTTTACCTCATTTTTCTTCAGTTTTCTCATCAGTAAAATGAGGGTAGTAAGAGAATCTACACGATTTTCAAAAGGAGCCTTGGGGTTGTTAACCAAAAGGATGATAGTTCAAACCTTTTACATGCTCTGTGGGAGAAAGATGTGGCATGACCTCCAGAAGGTTTATGGTCTTAGAACACTTATGGGACTGTTCTACTCTATCCTATATGATTTCATGGATTAAGATTGACGATGAATTTGCCTTAGAAGGTTTCTCATTGTTTGCTATCAGACTAACATTGGCTCAAAGTGAGTGACCCAAGAGGAACACTGCATGGTTTAAAATCAGGAAAGGTGTGCATTATGATTGTATCCTTTCTCCATACCTATTCAATCTACATGTGGAGCAAATCATTTGAGAAGCTGGACTCTATGAAGAAGAATGTGGCATCAGGATCAGAGGAAAGCTCATCAACAACCTGCATTATGCATATAACACAACCGTGCTTGCCAAAAGTGTGGAAGACTTGAAAGGTTTACCATAGAAGATCAAGGACTACAGCCTTGCATCTCAACATCAAGAAGACTAAAATCCTCACCTCTGGACCAATAAGCAGCATTGTGATAGATGGAGTAAACATTGACATTGTCAACGATTTCATCTTACTTGGAGCTACAGTAACATCCTGGGGACCAGCAGTTAGGAGATCAGAGCAAGTACAACATTGGGCAGATCTTCTGTCAGGGACATATCCAAATTACTGAGGAGCAATGATGTCAATTTGAAGACTAAGATGTGCCTGCTTCGGGTCTTGGTCTTTTCAGTCACTTATTGTGCATCTGAGAGCTGCACAATGCGTAAGGATGATAGAAGAATTGAGGCCTTTGAGTTGTAGTATTGGAGAGAGGACTGAATATCTTGTGGACTGCCGAAAGAACAGATGTATCTTGGGGAAAATACAACCAGAGAGCTCCGTGGGGTTCCAGGATGGAGAAGCTTTGCCTCACATACTTTGGGCATGTTGCTAGGAGAGGCTATTCCTTGGAGAGGGACATCATGCTAGGAAAGGGAGAAGGTCAATGAAGGACAGGGAGACCCTCAATGAGATGGATTGACATGGTGACAGCAGCAATGGGCATGAGTGTGTCAGAGATAGTGAAGATGGCACAGGACAGGATGGGGTTCAGATCTGTTGTATGCAGGATCACTAAGAATCATGCTTGATGACAGCTAACAGCAACAACAACAACAATTCAATCTGTATGCTGAACAGATCATTTGATAAGCTGGACTCTAAGAGGAGGAATGTGGCTTCAGGATTGGAGGAAGACTCATCAACAACTGGCCTTATGCAGATGACACAACCTTGCTTGATGAAAGTGAGGAGGACAATCATTCCGTTCACAGAATGTTCATGTTTGCCCTTTAATATTATGTAACTTTGCCCTCTGTTTGAAGTGATTGAACCAATGCCTCCAAAATCAAAAGCCAAAGCCCTGCCAGAACAAACCACTGATGCCTCATCACAATCATAGCTCTTAAATTACTGAAAAGGCTTTGAACATTTTCATGAAAGTAACACCAAGGAAGAGTTGTATGTACCTTTCTGGATTTGACTACAAATGAAAAACACAGTTAGGAACAGAAGACTGCTTGTTTGTTGGAAGATGAAATGAGACCATCAGCTCCACACTTGGCAGATGGTGAGCACTCAGTTGTGCTGATGGTTATTGAGATCTTACAGTGGTGTTGAGGATGCTCTCTTGGGTCCTTCCGGGGCTAAGTGCCTCTGTCCCACATGCCAGAGCTCTCTTTCACCACAGCCGCGTCCAATCAAGGTCCTCCCTAATCTTGCTATTCATGCCATTTTCTAAGGAGTCACCAAGTAATTTCAGGGTGACACTGTCTGGTTTGCCTTTGAGTACCCAGCAGTGATGATGAAATAAAACTTTCTGAATCCTAACTTTTATGCAGAAAATGTGGTCATTCAGAACATTGGTTTTTCCCTGAGGACTGTGAAATGATCATGAGGGGGAAACATGCATTTGCAGATTTAATGAATCTGCAGATCAAAACTTTTCTTCCAAGAAACGTTTTAGGGAATTGTGACGCTGGAATGTTGAGGTATTGTGTCAACCAGACTGAGGAAACTCATCAACTCAGCCCAGGCAGTATCTCAAGAGGGAGTCAAAGTACCTGGAAAGGATTGTCCCCGCTAGATGGACAGCTGTCACTGAGTTGATTTGCATTCATGGTGGCCTGATTGACAATAGAACAAAAGGTACC